CCTTTTTAAAATTTATATTAATTTTGTTTTTTTTTATTTGCTACAAATGAGCTAGCATAGAGTCATAGACTCATAAGCAAAATTTGTTTATAAGTGTTTAATGAAGAGAGAAAAGTACTTAGATATGCATGTGATCAATTGACATAGTCTTAAAAGGGAAATAACATTATAATTTGATAAATCTAATATGTAGTTTGTTTTTTTTTTCTTTTTTTTTGTCATTGCAAATAAAAAGAAACGGAGTTTATTTAAGACCCTAATATTCAAAGTAAAACCGAATCACACTTAGTGTTAACTAGGTTAAGTCCCGTGCCATACACGCACAATTATAATTAAATTTTATAACAAATAAATTATAAATTCAATAATAATTTAACTAAGAAAATTATTTGTAACAAATAACATGAATTTTTGTTTATACCAATACCAAATTTGTAAAGGTTATTGAATTTGAATAAAAAAAAAAGATAATAATAGAAATTTAGAAGTTATAAAGTTTTATACAAGTATAAGAAAATTAAAATATTAGCTTAGGTTAGTACCCATATACGAACTCATATACATTTATCCTTAAATCGTTGACACATTTTGACCGGCATAATTTGAAAATTTAGTTGATTTTATTTTACTAATTAGTATTCTGTAATTAATCTTTTAAATATATTTTTAGTGAGTAGTAGGGGTTTTTATTTTTTAAATAATCACATTAATATTTAGAGTAATTAGATTAAATTTTTCAATATATGTTATGTATACTATAACAAAATGATTTTGTTCTTATAAACTTTATGTTTCTTTTTTAATTAAAATAAATTTTATTGCCAAATGATAAATGTTGGAGAAAAAAAATTGATGTTGATAATATTATAATAATCTTGGAAAATAATATATGACAATACTTTATTTTTAATCTATGTTAGTATTTTTGTAACTAAAGTTTTCTAGTATATAATATATATGTAAAAAAATGAGTATAATTGGATTAATTATGTTGTCAAAATGGAAATTATTATTGTAGGTTATAAAATAAATGTCATTAAAATGTTGTAAAAAAAGGGAAAAGAAAAGAAAGACAGGAAAATTTTTAACCAAGAAATGACAAATATCATTCCAAGTTTCATCTTTAATATATAGTTATTGATTAATTGATTATTGATTCACATACCAAATGTAATATAAAGTCCGCCAAAGATAGAGTCCGCCAAAATATATCCAAATCATAAAGAAAGAAAGTAAGAAAGAAAAAAGAGAAAGTGTATAAGTTTGGAAGCTTTATAATATTGTTGAATAGAAGAAGTGAAGAACAAAAGGTAAGAGTTTAGGTTGCACGATGGGCAAATGATTAGTGTTGCAGTTATATAAAGTTTAGCTTGGATCCCGGTATAAAAACTACTTATATAAAGTTTGCTCCAATTTTTTTTTGTTTTTGGTTCTTCTTTTTTCCGGAGCCCATGGTTAAGGAATTTTGGACCCACTAAAATTGGCCCAACTTATATTATACTTTCTTTTGTTTGTGCTCATCACAATGATCACATTACAAAAACAAAATTCATTTCTTTTTCTCACTTTATTTATGTCTTTTTCTTACAAACATATTTTTACTTTATATGATCTTTATTGTATTACAAATGTGGTACCTCGTATAAGGCTACTAATAAACTAATATTTTATATTATACGAAATATTTGATTTAAACACATTTGAAGAGCTTTATGGAGTACTCCCTCGTTTTTTATGAGAGTGTAACATTTTATTGGCATAGAGTTTTTATGCCATTGATTTAAATTTGTTAAATTATTATATTAGTAGGATTTGTTGGAAAATTAAAAATTGATTATAAAAGGTGATAATAGGTAAATAATTTATACTTCGAATAAAAGTAAGGGATGTGTGAACGAGGAAAGAAGATAAATTACTTCATATCAAAAAAGTGTGAGTAGGGTATTAAGTGGACTATGAGGACCATGTAAGGAGAAATATTTTAAGAAAATATGAGTTAAGTAGAGTATTTCCATTAAAGGAAGTATGTGCAATAATAAAAAAAAAAAAGGCCAATTACTATATAGAATGCATTGCAATTAAAATAACAACGGGGAATATTAGATGTCATTGTTTAGGTTGACTCATGTTATATCTTGTTTAAATTATTTTATAAAATACTCTCTCTAGTTTTATTTTGATATTTTTTTTTCTATATTATTCATGTAATTCATTTAGACTATTATTAGCGATTTATATGTAAGGAAAAATATAGTTATATAGAAGTTTATTGGAATCGTCTTAATATATAGTGTTTAAATATCAATTTTTTGTAATATTATGTATTGACCAATTGGTAATTAAATGCTCGTATTTTATTGGTTTTGGCATATGTGTCAAATTAAATTAAGGCACTTAAAAAAAAAAAAAAAAGAGTAGTTAAAACAAGACTTGAAAAAATCAATGAAGGAAACACTATATATAAAGTTCAATTTACAAATACTATACGGAGTAAACTATTCGAGTAGCTTTAGTTTGGATTCAAAAAGTGAACTTAGGTAAATACTTCCTTCATTTGCCTAGCTAAGTTCTCCTCGATTTCTGTTTGCTTTCGTTTTTTTAAATTTTCCTTACTTTTATTTCTTTTTCTTTTACGACAACTTTTTATTTATTTTTCTTTTCATCTACGATTTCACTTTGTAGGACTCAATTATATTTACTAGTACTCCTAGTAATGATCATATATACTCACTACTACCATTTTAACTAAAGTATATAGGTTTAGTATGTAGTTACTAATTAGGCAGAATTCATGAAAAAGAAAGAAGTAGATCTAATTAGGTAGAATTCATGAAAAAGAAAGAAGTAGATCGTAATCTACTATAAACGTTGCTAATTATATTGATAATACTTTCTCTGTTTTTTAATTGCAGCATTTGGACTTTTACACTATTCACAAAATAGTTTTTTGGCCTTATATTTGTCATATATAGTTATGTAAGATTTAGGCCTTATTCTTTTGAACTTTTGGATAGAGCAGAGTAGATTTCAGCAGTACAGATTACATTATTATTATTATGATAGCCAAATAAAAGATTCGTTGATTCATATTCAATTTGTTTTGTCTCCTTAGAAGTTAAGAATAGAATTACCAAATTTCACAATTAAAGCAGCTACTTTATTCGGAATGGAAGAATCATTTTGTACTTTCTATTTATAAACTTTAAGCTTTTACATTGTTTAAAATTATTATTTTTTGACGAGAAGCTTATATGCTCTTAATTTGATCAAATTAAAGTGCAAAATCGTAAAAGTTATCCATATTTTATGCCATTTGGGGTCCTTAAGGACGAAGGATTAACTATTTGCTGGTACCATCTTTTAGCTTTTGGATAATCAAAATAAGTAGCTTTTTAATACTTTATTTTAAAGTTCTAAATAAGATTGCTTGTTCTTGTTTAATTAATTAACTTGGAGTTGTACGTTGGCCAATCATTACTCTTGCTTTATTGTGAGAGACACGTTGGAATTTGAAATTCGAGGAACAATTTCGACATCTGGTTTAAGTTATTGTTTTAAATTTTGTTGTACCGCTATGATGTTTTAATTTAATGTAATCAATGATATTTATACCACTATTTATCACTAATACACAATCTAAAATATTATTATTATTGCGTAATCACATCCAAAATTAATATTGAAGTTATTAAATAATTAAGTGGAACTATGCACGTACACTGCAATAAGTTAGGCGGTTGTTAACCCTTTTTCTAATCTAATTGACTAATTCCTTTTATTAACAGTTGTCTAGTAAACGCTATAATAAGTGGGCTTTTAAAAGCGTTTAAATAAAAACCGCTATTATATGTTATAAATGACATAGTTTATAGCAAGAAGAAAACCGCTATAAAAAAAAAGCTGTAAAATGTAACTTTTAACGTAGTGGTAAAATTAGGATTTATTGTTATACGGTTATATAATCACTTGAGGCATCGCCTAGGTATAAAAACAAATACTTTGTATATAATTTGATTTTAGAAAGGAATAAAAAAACATTGAGATTGATAGAATGACAATATATATATAATCTTGTTATCATATCATATAAATAGAAATAGAGTAATATATAAAGCTCAACAATTAGCTAGCGACACTTGCAATTTACGTGATCTCCAATAATGTATATAAGAGACTGTTAACATATGTAGTATTTTATTGTATGATGGCGAAGACATATTAACTGAAATGAATAAGATCGCACGTTGATTACACGACAATTTTCTTCATTTTTATTTGGGTTTTTCTACATAGTAACCCGGTTTATTTCACTTTTCTACGTTGTGACCCAACTTATAGAACTTTCTACACTATAACCCCAATATACATTTTGTTTCCATACGGTAACCATGCCGTTATCCCGCCGTTAAAAAATTCCGTTAATGGGACCCACTATCCATTTATTAAAATTATACATACATTTTCCAATTTTCATGCTACGAATCAATACCATATTCCAATTTGTAGGAATATATTGCAATTTCTTGAGATAAAATCAATTCTATATTCCAATTTTATAGAGATGTTTGCAATTTCTTGACATGAAATCAATTCTATATTCCAATTTTCAAAAAGATGATTTCAATTTCTTGACATAAAATCAATTGTATATACCAACCTCAGGGATACGATTGCAATTTCTTGACATATAATCAATACCATATTCTTAATTTGTAGGATGAAATAGTTGCAATTTCTTGACATATAATCAATACAATATACCTAATTTGTAGGACGAAATAGTTGCAATTTCTTCACCAAACTATCACCATATTCCAATATTAATATCAAGGAGATCGATGATTGCAATCTTGATATTATAATATTATTATCATTAGTTATTATCTTAAGGTCAAAGATAGGTATTTACAAAATTTTTGCTCCGTAAAATTGATAATAAAGCATAATAATTTTGTGAAGGAGGATAAAGCATAGTAATTTGATTGTGAACAAAGCAATATTACATTCCAAATGTGAGGACTAAGGATCACACTCTAGATTTTGTCTATAAATTAATGATGCTGCCGTTATATTATTACTACGTACAAGTATTTAAATAAAATCCACATCACAAACAAAAAACAACTACAAGTATAGATTTATTAGAAAAAACAGCTTACCAACCTGCTTGTCAGCCCAACCTAACCCAACCCAAAAGGTATGCATATTAGTCCGTAGTTTTTATTTGGGTGTATGATCTAATTTGCATAGTTTTAGCTCTTTTATGAGCTTATTATATAATTCAAACGAATTTCATGCTTTGCTTTTCATTAGAAGTAAAAAAAAAATGTTCATTTAAGTAATAGGGCATACCGTCATTAAGCTATAAACTTAATTTATGGTGTGATCATGTGATGCTGCTTTGACATGCATAATAGCACTAACATAAACAAAACATAATAGTCTGATAATCCTTATATGAGCTAATTAAATACAATCTTCAATTGTAATTAGCATATTGTTTACTAGTAATTGATCGTGTTATCGAGGATAATATTTAATTTTAAAACTTTTTTTTGGAATTATTGTTATTTTGTCACTTTACTTGTCTCATATTAGTTTCAACTTTTTGACACTTATTAAAATACATAATTTTAGGTGATAAATTAATGTTTTTATTGGAAAAGTAAATGTAAACAAGATTACTGATGCGCAAATTATTAAATGTTGAAATGGGGTGCACCATATGTGGACGTGAGGTGATATTATATTATATGATCCTGTATTTTTATGATCTCCTAACTGATTAATTTTTGTTGTCATATATAAGTATCCAGCTTGAGCATGGCTGATGAAATTGCGGATCCAATCAAAGACTTAGCCAAGTCTTTGATCATCGATACGATAAAAGAATGGTACTCTTACATAAAGAGCTACAATGATAACATGAAAGAACTTCGAGACGAGTACAATAACTTAGTTTCTCTCAACAATACCTTCAGTAACATGGTAGAGCAGCGAAAACAGCAAAATATGCATAAGAGTACACCAATCACTGATGATTGGCTTGCCAAGGTTCACAACCTCGTCGAGAAAGACGAGAATTTGACGCATCTCATTGACGAAAAGACAAGAAAAGGCAAGGATCAGTGTTGCTTTGGCCGTGTTAACTGCAATTTGTATCGACGCTATGAGATGAGTAAAATAGCTCAAATTAAGGTCGATGAAATCAAGAAAGTAATCAAAGATAAACCAGATGAGTCAATGATCACGGAACCTCGAACAGATTTGATACCCACCCCTAACGAATTCATGTTGGGCTTGAGTTCAAGAGTTGAGCTTATGGAAATAATACTCAAAAAGTTACGAGATGATTACGTTGATGTCGTTGGCATTTTCGGCATGGGAGCTATAGGTAAACATATTCATTTTCATACATGTATACACTTTAACTTTCACCCTTCATTTTCCCCATGCATATATCACTAAATTTATTAATAATAGACTTTTTGTTTTTGTTTTTTTTTTTTTTTTTTTTTGCAATTTTAACGTTTTCTCCGTTTCTCAATAGATTCATCCATTTGACTTTTTACATTATATTTGATCAGATTTATCTTTAATTTATATTAATAAAATTATAAAAGTTTAATAATCACAATGATGTTAACTATTATTAGAATGACAACATTTATCATGGTATATTAGCAAATATGTAAAGTGGTAAAAGTTGAAATACAAATAGTGTAAAAGCGGTTTTTAATAAGATTAATTTTGCTTTGGATTAAAAAAAATCATAGTCAAACAAATAAATGGATAATACGTCCTTAAAATGAAAGGCCTAGATCAAAAACTAATATAGTGGCCAGAAATTTTATGTAGCTATTGAATAGTCTTCCTAAAATTGATTTTTTTTTTTCATAAAATTATCCACTTGGCCCCATTATTAAAATTATCAAATGTATTTTTATCTAGTTGTTAAATATTAATTGATGGAGCATGATGCTGATCATCAACTGAATAATGCACAAGGAGATCCACATACAACTGTTACATTTCCTCGTTTGCAACGAATGGCCCTAGAATTTCTTCCGAAATTGGGAAGTGTAATAGGTTTAATCAAAGTGTACTTAATTAATATTTCAATTTGTATGTTAATATTTATGTATATATGTTGTTTGTCTATTTTACCCGTAAAAAGTACTTTTAATTTGTGCTCTAACATATTTATACTGCTATTATTATCTTATATATTCAATTCCAAATTAACCATTGAGTATATGTTATGTCAACTTGCAGACAATATTCCCATCGCTGGAACACTTGGTATTGAGACGGTGTGATAAAATTGTACAATTGTGGGAAGTGAATTGTAAGGAGATGAGTTACTATTCCAGCTTTAACAATTTGCACTCCTTACAAATCGACGATTGTGACAAACTTGAAACTTTGGGATCCCTCTCCATAGCAACTGCACTTGTACAACTAAAAAATTTATCCATATGCGGGTGTCCACTTCTAAGGGAAGTCATAAGTTCCGAGGAAATGGAGGCTCCAACATTTGGTGACAAAATCCTTCCATCCATTCAAAGTGTTGAGCTAGATGACTGCCCTGAATTGAAGGTGTTCATATCAGGAGAAAAGCTTAACGATAAATTTCTCAAGTTGTCATCTTTTCATCAACTTAAAATTGAAGATTGTCCAAAAATGGTTTCTTTCTCATTTGGACCTTCTTTCAAGACTCCCAAATTAAATAAAGTAATACTTGATTCGAGCGAGTATGAGATTAAAGACGACATTAATTCCTTTCTTCAAAGTCACAACAATCCCAAGCCCAAGGTAATCTACTCCGCTCACCTTGTATGGAGTGATATTTTTGGGGTCTAAAATAAAGAGGTTTTATAATTTTTGTTTTTGTAGTTTTTTGCCTTTCATTACCAAATCAATCTAATTCAATCTTTATTACTCATAAAATATATAATTAACCAACAAGTCTAAAAGAAAAGTGCTTGTGCATTCAATTCCTATGATTTAGACTAGGGGCGGGACTTTTCAAACCGAACCGTGAAACCGCCCGTTACCGAACCGAACCATCACGGACCGATCCGTTTATAAACCGATAAATGTAAACCGAAAACCGAACTGAACCGTTCAATATCAAACCGAAACCGAATTGAACCGCTCAATGTCAACTCGTTACGGACCGTAAACCGATAACAAACCAAACTGCGCAAATCCGAACCGAAACGAAACCGAACCGAATGGTTTATAAACCCGTTAATGACCCGAACCCTTTATAAACCGAAACCGTTTAAACCGAAAAAAAACCGTTTAAACCGAACCATTTGTAACCCGCTAACCGTTTAAACCGACCCGTTTATGAACCGAAACCGTTTAAACCGCACGTATAAACCGAACCGTTATAATCCGCTAACCGTCTAAACAGAACTGCCATAACCCGTTAAACCGTTAAAATCGAACTGTTTTCGAATCGCAACCTGTTTAAACTTATCCAATTACAAACTGCTTAATTCAAATTGAATTATTTACAACCTAAATGGCTAAATAGTAAATACAATTAAATAATTAATGTTAATAAATGTAGATCTAATCAAACGGCTTAGGTTTATACAAAGGTTTATATCACCTAGATCTAGGCCAACGACATTATTAATATCGTTTTAGATTACTTATTTAATATTTATTTTAATTACAAGATATATCATTTGTATCTTTTCATTCCAGTAATAAAGTCCACCCAAATTATCTTCATTGTTCCTTGATATTCATGATCATCCAATAAGATAACATAAGATTGGAGATAAATAACATTAAAATTAGAGTAATATCAACAAGCAATTAAAAAAAGTCACCATTTTCATTGATTAAAATTCACAATACATATACCAATACATAATGAAACTACTATCACTACTACCCAGATTAGATTTCAGATTTATCAACTGAAACATCATCAAGTTTAGGGTTGCAAAAAATGATACATGATAAGATGAAGGGAGGAGTGAGAATGTGAGTGATTTGGGAGCAGAATCTTGAAGCAGCAGCCCAGCACCCAAGAGCAGAGGAAATAGCAGCAACAAGCAGGAACCAGCACACGCAATAACAGATCAGCAACTTATCCGAAGCAAGGAATAATATAAGCAGAAGGGACTCAGCAGGAACTTATTTTTGTTTTTCAAAATTGCTCTCAGATTTACGTTTATCGTATCATCACTGAGCAATGACTGTTTTAACTTAAAACTTGAAAAATGCTGCCAGCAAGTACATATACATTGAAGTCTCAACATAAATGACAAGGGCAACGATGATTCAAGAAAAATTAAAACAGCAAGCATAAAAAACAGCAGCAAGCATAAGAAACAGCAGCAACAAAACAGCAGCAGCAACAACTCAGCAGAGACATCAACCAAAAGGCAAAAGCACTACTAGCAGGCAGCAGCTCATAACAAGTTCAAGCAACTTCAAAATTATAGCTTTTGTTTTTTAAAATTGCTCTCAGAGAGCAATGGTTGTTTTAACAAAAACTTGAGAAATGCTGCCAGCAAGTACCAAAATACATTTAACTACTTAAGTCTCAACATAAATGACAAGGGCAACGATTTTAAAAGTCGTGAAAAATGCTGCCAGCAAGTCTGAAAATAAATGACAAGGGCAACGATTTTAAAAGTCTTGAAAAATGCTGCCAGCAAGTCTGAAAATAAAAGACAAGGGCAACGATTTTTCAAGATAAAATAAACCACAATGAGACACAAATACCAGTTATGCAGATGAAGCACTTTCGGCTTCAATCTCTTTACCAATAAGGAGGACGTCTTCCTCAACATCCACTTGATAACCACGGCACCAATTTTGGGTGGTAACCAATGCCTCAACATTCTTTGGCAAAAGTTTACCCCTATATTTGTTCAAAATACGACCACCCAAACTAAAAGAAGATTCAGAGGCCACCGATGTAATAGGAATGGCCAAAACATCCCTTGCCATATTAGCTAAAATAGGAAGAGAAGAAGCTTGAGATTCCCAATACTTGAGAACATCAAAATGTTCCCCTTGAATTAATCGCGAACGAGGTCCATTCAAATATGCCTCAAGATCAGCCAGAGGGCATCTAGTTGAATCATCACATTCGTCATCAACCTCACGCAACTGCAACAGATTTTTTATTATAAAAGTTAAATTATGACATTACAAATAAAAATAGAAGAATACCATTAATATTGAGTATATTGTATAACATAAATACCGTGAAAATATTTTGAGATCTCAACGTACGATTAGAATTTTCAGATTGAGCTGTGTTTGAAGAGGCAGGATTTCTGCAGCTTGTATTAGATGCAGTAGAATAAAATTTATAGAGGTCATAAAAAGCTTCCTTAATCATCATAATCTTTTCGTCGCATGCCTCATCATTATACAACGAGTTCAACATATGTCTCACTCGAAACAACTTATAACGAGGATCAAGAGCAATAGCAACTGAAAGTATCAAACTATAATCCTCCCAATAACTCTCAAACTTCTCAAGCATAACTGCTGCCATGGGTGCAAGTTTAGGGTCTTTAAAGGCTTGAGTAATAGCGTACTCAATTTTTAAAACACTAACAAAATACAAATTAGAAGTGGGATATTCGGTACCAGAAAATAACACAGTTATATCATTAAATGGCTGAAGGAAATCACAAATTTTTTGAATGGTATCCCATTCATCAGCATCAAGTCTATAAGAAATACCCAAAAACCTACTAGTATATAGAATCAAGCCATCCTTAGCTTCTAAGGCTTTTCGGAGCATTGTATAAGTGGCATTCCAACGAGTCACAACATCAAGACATAACTTACCATTAAAAGCAGAATCTAACTCAGACAAAGCATTCTCAAATTGAGTTAATCTAGAATCAGAAGCATCAATATATTTAACAACCTCACGCAATTTTTCAACACTTTCATGAACTTCTTTTAAACCTCTTTGAACAATAAGATTTAAAACATGAGCTGAACATCGAACATGAAAGAATTTCCCATTACAAGGAAGAGGAGAGCATTGCATTAATTCTTTTTTCAAATATTCAACCATAACATCCATAGAACGAGCATTATCAACAGTCATTGAAAAAGCCTTACCTTGAAGGTTCCACTCTTTAATTAGTTTAAACACAAACTTTCCAACCTCAACACCAGTATGGGGAGGGCCACAATATCTAAAATTTAAAATTTTAGACCTAAGAGACCAACTGTTATCAACATAATGAGCAGTCAAAGTGAGATAGCCTCGGTTAGTACATGCAGTACACAAGTCACATGTAAAGCTAACTCTACCAGAAACATTAGCCAAAGACTCAAGCAACAAGGATTTATATTTATCATGCTCAGCAATAACATACTTTAGCATAGTTTTTCTACAAACATGCTGCACCTTAGGATTCAAATATGCATGAAGTTCCCTAAGATATTCATGCTCTACAATATTTAAAGGATATGCATGGCAGATTATAGCTTTAGCAAACTTTTGTAAATAAGTTTTTTGATCAAATTGTGATTCGTTATCGGACTGGAGACCATGCTTTTCCAAACATGCATTAATATGAGCTCTACAAGTTGAAGTACCCGCTTTACCAGGTGCTTTATATTCTTTGCCACACAAATTACAACGAGCATAATCTACATTTTCATTACCTATCGTCTTTACAAAAAAAGTGTAATGCTTCCATATACCTGCGGTTCTTTGACGTTTATTAATAGAAGGATTGATAGTGCCGGTATTACTAGCATCATCAACCGAGACAGAGGCAGCTTGAGAGCTAACAGTATCAAAATTTGATTGCCTCTCATAGTCAAATTCATCATACTCGCGAGACATGACTGAAACAAAAAAAAAGCAGCATTTATAACTTATAAGTACCAAATTAAGTGACAGATTCTACTAATAGTGAGCAATTAAGCATGCATTGTCTCATGTGACTGACACTGAAGTCACGACAGTGAATCCTATTCACTCAATACCAAAATTCAACTAAATAGATAGTTCATATTTCAGAATTTTATTTGCACTAGTCAATGTTTCAAAATTCAGAATTATACAACAAACGTGATTACAACATATATCCTAACAGAATATAGAAAGTTATATACGATACAGTCACATATGTGTACATTTTAAGTACTAACTTTAAGCCAATCATATACAATGCTTGTATTCCAACAATATGGGTTAAAAATATAAAGCTAAAATCCCAATAAATAAACAATGCATGTATTCCAACAATAATAATCACATAATCTGAACAACCCATCATCATTACTTTTAAATCGAGCATAATAAACAACAAAACAGCACAAATCTACCATTTTCCCGTAAAAAACAAAAATACAATCAACAACAGATTTTACTCATTTTAGGCATATTTCGACTATATTCAAGCAAGAACAACAACAATAATCAAATACAAAAACAGAAAAACTGTATTAAAAAAAAAAAACAAAAAGGAAAAAGTAATTACCTTTGACGGCTTGAAGGAGATTTGAAGATGGAGAACTACCTGAACTGGAGATCAAAAGAAAAAATCAAGAATGTAGATTATCAGAACTTGAAATAAAAAAAAAACCGAAACGAAAACGAAAAAAATCGAATAAATTAACAAAAAAATCACCTTAGGGTTTGACGGCTTGAAGGAGAGGAAGATTTGAAATCAGAAATCAGAAATCAGAACTTAGATCCAAAACAAAAATGAAACGTGATGAGTGACATTTATGTTACCCTTAGGGGTAGTGTATTGGTCTCTTTTCTCCTGTTTTTCTTAGGTTTTCTACCTCTTTTCTCCTCTTATGGCTTCCTTTTCTTTTATGGATGAAAAGTATGCTTATTTGCGCTTGTTTTGATAATCTTTATGCATAATTTTATCATCCCCATGCTCTCGTGATCTTTGCTATCTTTTGC